AGAAATTCCAACCCAAAACGATGTAATATTACATCACTAGGTATTTTTTTATGAATTTTCACCAAAGTCTCTGAATTCATGTAAGAAGAAAATTTTTTACCTATTATTACGTATTTTTACTTATTTTATTATTTTGTGTTCTTTTTAAATTTTGCGCCAATATTTTATCCAGGGCGTGCAACTCAACGGTATAGAGTTTTTTCTTATGGTCACAGACTGTAACAGTAACTTTCTTTACAGTTACCTTCTTTGTAGTGAGCAATGTTCTGTCATAGAACTTCTGTGTAGTGATTGTCACTCAGTGAAACACAGTTTATTGCATAGAAATAGTTTATTGTGGGTATGTTCTGTGTTTGGGTATGCGGCTAAACAAAATTATAAACGAAACGTGAACTTTTAATGTTTTTTTTTTTTACCTAAAATGCTGTTTTTTTAACCTAAAATGCTTTTTTTAGTACCTTTTTAGTTACCTATTTTTCAGTTTTTAGTACCTAAATATCCCATCCCTAATAATAAGCATTGAAGCTTAATAAATTATTTAGTTAAAAAAGGCAGTCAATCAAAACATTTCCCACTGACAATTTTCAACAAATACTTAAAACAAAATTGTTACTGGGTCTACAAAAAGGTTTGTAAAAATAACTTCATACATTTAAAAGGCATTTGATTTGATCATCAAATGATATTTGATTTGATCATCAATATTAATTATTAGTATTAACTTTTATTCGAAATCGCATTTAATAATTATTAAATGCGATTTCGAATAAAAGTTAATATGCACCTCGGCATTAAAGTCATTTTTTATCACTCACGTGGATATTTCCTCGGCTTTCGCCTCGGCAAATAATTTCCACATTCGTAATAAAAAATACGACTTTACTGCCTTGATACTGTAAGGTGGAGACCCCTGCCTCATCGTTTAATGAAAAAGGGTAATACAAAAAAATAATATCAATATAAGGTTTAATTTAATTGGCCAAATAGCTGTAATCGTCTCGTTGTGAAATGTTTAACTAAAAACCTACATAGTAACTACAGTTCTTTTTCAAGGTATCATACTTACTTATTGTCAGGAATTGTTTAAATAAAACACTAGCATGCTCATTTTATGACTTATTTATTTATAAGATCAGAGGTGCCACTATTTCTCTGTGGTTTAAAAACCCGGTAAAACGTTGAGTAAAGAGTTAATTAATTTCATTTGTAATCTTGTCAATATTGTACACTTGTATGAACATATAAGTAATTTTGAATATTTCTTTGGTCCAGTACTTAAATAAATTATTTTACTACAACTCAATCAATGCTCGAAACAAGATCTAAATGTCTGCAATTCGCGTAGTTAAAATAAGGTTAGGATTATGGTCAATCCAAGGAGACCCTGATCCAAAACATAATAGTATTCAAAATCATTCCAATTATACCGTGTCGTATTCGCGTAGTTAAAGTAAGGTTAGGATTATGGTCAATCCAAGGAGACCCTGATCCAAAACATAATAGTATTCAAAATCATTCCAATTATACCGTGCCGTATTCGCGTAGTTAAAGTAAGGTTAGGATTATGGTCAATCCAAGGAGACCCTGATCCAAAACATAATAGTAGTCAAAATCATTCCAATTATACCGTGCCGTATTCGCGTAGTTAAAGTGAGGTTAGGATTATGGTCAATCCAAGGAGACCCTGATCCAAAACATAATAGTAGTCAAAATCATTCCAATTATACCGTGCCGTATTCGCGTAGTTAAAGTGAGGTTAGGATTATGGTCAATCCAAGGAGACCCTGATCCAAAACATAATAGTAGTCAAAATCATTCCAATTATACCTTGCCGTATTCGCGTAGTTAAAGTGAGGTTAGGATTATGGTCAATCCAAGGAGACCCTGATCCAAAACATAATAGTAGTCAAAATCATTCCAATTATACCGTGCCGTATTCGCGTAGTTAAAGTGAGGTTAGGATTATGGTCAATCCAAGGAGACCCTGATCCAAAACATAATAGTAGTCAAAATCATTCCAATTATACCGTGCCGTATTCGCGTAGTTAAAGTAAGGTTAGGATTATGGTCAATCCAAGGAGACCCTGATCCAAATCCCATTATTAGTCAAAATCATTACAATTATAACGTGCAGGTAGAGTGGGCAACCAAGAATATATATTGAGACCCTGAACCTCGTCGATAAAAATAACGACGGTGTTAACAACTTATTGTGTGTAAAGCCATTTAGGCAAGTTTGTAAACCATTTCGGTAATAATATTGTTGTATTTACCCTTTAGGTAATATACTTTTAATTGTGACACAGGTGACACATTTATTATTGTGCCATTTAGGCGACATATTTGTTATTGTGCCATTTAGGCGATATATTTGTTATTGTGCCATTTAGGCGACATATTTATTATTGTGCCATTTAGGCGATATATTTGTTTGTTGTGCCATTTAGGCGATATATTTGTTATTGTGCCATTTAGGCGACATATTTATTTGTTGTAACTTTTTATATTTAATCTTCAAGGAGCATGGTCAAATCATATACATAAATCAAGGGACCTTAAACCCTAATAATAAATAGTGTTATTTTTCACTTGTCTCGATAAGTCAATTGAAAACACAGATATTAATCAAACTGTAAAACTGGACCAATCACAATAATAATACTAAATGTAATATTGATACAAATTTAGTTTAAGAGTGTGTAATTTAATAATTTCATAATAACGTTTAACATTATGTATTCTAATAATTTGTAATATTTGTAAACGTATGTTTATTATAGTATTTAAAATATAAATCAAATTTTAATTCAATGTTTTTCTAAATAATAAATAATTGAGAAAAATAGGCATTTGTTTGAGGTACGTGACTACAAGCATTGCGTAATGGCAGCCGTTGTAGAAATTAAAACATGTAAATCAATCATTTACAACAAAATATGTATTATAAATAATATCAGACTAACCTGTATATTCTTCTAATATGAAAGAACCACAATGTACGAAGATTACCATATTCTTTTAGAAGTTTTTCTGTTTATTAATATTCGCTTCAAGTGTGTAGTCACCAACAGCCAACACCCTAATAATCCAATCGAAAAACCTATTTCGAGCCTCCTTCCCACTATCATCAAATAATGGACTCGTCCAAAAACCGTAGAAACTTCTTTATGCATGCGCATCGTAGAAGTTTCTGTCAATTCTTTTTATGGATTAACAGCACTACTTCAAATATTAATTAAATAAGTAACCTATTTACGATAACTAGATAATTCACAATAATCTTCTAAACCCAATTATTACATTATTATAAAATAATAATGATTATAATACCAAAAATACACAGCTGTACAAGCAGTTGCCTATAAGTAAAAGCCTAAAATTGTAATTAAATAATAATATTCAATTAGGGATATTTTAATATTACAAAAATATAAGTAAGACAAGTATAGAATTCGTCAAGACAAGTGACATTTTTCAGAGAATACTAAGGGTGGGTCACCACCCTACAATACATAAATAACTATTGACTAATTCATTTTAAGAGAGAACGAATATTTTTTGGCATATATATATATATATATATATATATATATATTAGGGTGTGCCAAAAAAACTCGATATTTTTTTTTTCTTGCTCTCCACCCAAAATATCGTAGAATATGTCCAAACAAATATTCTGTTAAAAGCGGAGCTCATAATTTCAATTTTAAAGGTCCCTCATCCTATCTGAAGTTTTGCCGCTTAAATAACACAGAAAACTGACTTTTTTACCTTATTTATTCTTGCAACCTAGGAAGAATTTTTTTTTTCATAAAATCCATGACTAATTCTTACAAAGCATTAAATTTGGACAAAAAATCTTATTAAGCCGAATTTCTATTTTCATTATTTGATTTTTTCCAGAGCTTTAAATTTAAAGTTAATAATACAAAAATGATGACTTTATACTCCTGTAACTTTTAGAATATTAACGATACAAAAAATTCGCCTAAAACTTTTATGTGGTCCATCAGACAAGCTAAAAAATTGCCATTTGACTTTTTTGTCTAACTTCAATAGTTTAGCTGAAAAAGGCAAAAAACGTAAAATTTGAAATTTAAAGCTCTGTAAAAAATCAAATAATGAAAATAGAAAATCGGCTTAATAAGATTTTTTCGTCCAAATTTAATGCTTTGTAAGATTTGGTCATGGATTTTATGAAAAAAAAAATTCTTCCTAGGTTGCAAGAATAAATAAGGTAAAAAAGACAGTTTTCTGTGCTATTTAAGCGGCAAAACTTCAGATTCGATGAGGGACCTCTTAAAATTGAAATTATGAGCTCCGCTTTTAACAGAATATTTGTTTGGACATATTCTACGATATTTTGGGTGGAGAGCAAGAAAAAAAAAATATCGAGTTTTTTTGGCACACCCTAATATATATATATATATATATATATATATATATATTACACCTATCGATCCGGAGACACACTGTATATTCTCCTCTTGAAGAAATTGATTTAGATAAAAGATAATCGAAAAATTTACAATTTTTGGAATAAAATTTTGAAATTGTAATCACTTTATAGACCAATTTTGATACTCAAAACTTTAGAGTGTAAAGCTTTGTTCGCCTCGGGGGGTATTGCCGTAGATAACGCCCGCTTGGCGCCTTGCTAAGTTGCTTAGAGAAATAACACATTTCGCCGGGTGTACCAAAGCTACTAATACTTTAATTACTGAAAATACGTTTCGCCTTGATAAGAAAAGCCGCCGAATGCGCAATGCGGTCTTGCCATTTAATTAACTCCCGTTTAAGAACAATGTAATTCGGTGCTCCTTCGATAATTTATTTTGAATATGTTTCCCGAATATAAGAATGTATATACAAGGCTTTAATCTCCTTAACGCATAATTTTTGAGCACCCTCTTAGCTTAAACTCCAATTAAGTGTTTTTCGTAAAGACCTTTGCCGACCTAATTTGTTCTAAAACCTAAATAAATTGAATTTTTGCTTAGTGCACGACAAAGTCCCCGACAAGGAAAAGAAACTAACGGAATTTACTCTGATCCAAGTTGGCCCTGCCGATCGACAGTGTGTGTTGTTATCAGGAGGGGATCTTGTCGAAAAAAAAAACTTACTTGGTCGTCTATCCCCAAAGGATTGCGCCTCACTCGTTTCTAAAAATCTCTCTGGAAACTCGAGTAGTAAAGTATGACAAACTGAATAATTCAGCGGAGAATGTACAGTCAATAAAATAAGTTATAGGATAGTCATGACAAAAGTTTAGTACTTTTTTACGATTATTTAGTAAAATAACAAATTCAATTCGATTTAAGTTGCTTACAAGGCATTACAAATGTTGGACCAAAAAGACTTTTAAAACATTCAAAAATGACTACTTTTCATAGCGGAAAATCAGCCACTAATAATTTCCGTCAACAGCAATTTGTATCCCGAACATTTAGCAGTCAATTTCTATGTAAAATTGTCCCTTTAATACCAAAATGTCGTCAAAAGTTAGAAAAGTAGAACAATTTTCCATATAATATGGAATTGACTATATCCCAAAAATGTTCTACTTTCATAACACTAGTTTACAACCATTTTGCCCACCATGTCTCACTATAATTTTACTGTGTAGTTTTGCTCACTAAACGCGAAAATCACACTTAAATTTTTTTCATGGAAGCGTTTTCGAGATATGAATTTTCTATTGTTTTTTTTTTTTTAATTTTCTGAGGTGTTTTGACGTTTGAGTATACTTCGAGTTCTAATTGATCGATTTGACCAAACAAGCACTTAAATCAAATGTAATTGAGCCATCTACAACTTTCTTTTGTATAGTTTGGGTATCGGCTCAGTAGTTCGATACTAGGAAAAAAATAAGCTGCTGTTGATAAAAATCCATGGATAAATGGCGAAGTTATGAATTTTTCAGTGGAAGAGAAAAATTCAGTTTTTCGAGAATTTTTACGTTTTTTCTTCATTTTTATTTTAATATTAAGCATTGATTTTTATTTTAAACATTAAATATTGAAATTAAATTATATACTGAATATTCAACAATAAATATTGAACATTGAAGATATTGAAAGTTTTATTTTGTTTTAATAAGCATAGGTTTAAAAAAATTCTGGCTCCTTTGTTTTTTGTTGCTTTCGTATTCCGTTTCTCGTATGAGGGACAAATGTAATCACCCATCATGGCTGTATCCCAGAAGCCGTGATACCGCCGCTCCATAGCCTTCATTTGCTGGTGATAACGTTCTCCGTGCTCATCACTTACGTCACCCGGATTGTCCGGGTTATTTACGCACAAGAACTCTACTTCTTTTACTCATTTTATTAACTAAATAAAACCATGATAAAAATACCTTGTTGAAATATCAAATAATAGCAGTGAAATGTCACTATAGTGACATATATGCCAAACCGAGAAACAAAAGAATTTAAATTTTGAAAAATTCCAATCATGCACTTTACTTAGGTTTTCATTAAAGAATAAACATATTACAAAATAAAAGAACAAAATAAAATAAAAATCGTCAAAAAGCTGAATTTTGGTCTTTCACTAAAAAATTCATAACTTCGCCATTTTTCCATGTATTTTTATCAACATTAGCTTGTTCTTTTTGTAAAAATGTGAGCTTCACGAAAAAAAATTCAAACTGGAGTTATCTGTTTGATTTAAACCCTTCCCAGGACGATATGACATATTTACATTGTAAATTTTCGACCTCAATTTTTGCCATAAAAACGAATTTTCAAGTTATTAAAATCGCTAGCGTCAAAATACTTATCCGATATCAAAAGTATGTAAAAGAAAGTTTTAGAAGGCTCAAATACCTTCAATTTAAGGGCTTGTTTGACCAAATCGATCAATTAGATTTCAAGCTATACTCAAAAACGTCAAAACACCTCCAAAAATTGAAAAAAAAAACAATTGAAAAATCAAAAACGCTTCCATAAAAAAATTGAGTGATTTTCGTGTTAAGTGGGTCAAAATACATGGAAAAATTATAATGGGATATGGTGGGCAGAATTTTTTTTCGATTTTGTAAACTATTGTAATTTTTGACGGTATTTTCGAATAAAGGGGACAAATTTACATAAGAATTGGCTGTTAAATGTTGGGAATACCATGGTATCCCATGGTTAACCATGGCATAAGTGAAAAAGCAGCCACTAATAACTGTAGTAAGTGGTCATTTTTGACTCATTCATTTTTAGAGAGTATGTAGAGCACGGTGCGGCAATTGATTGTTTATCGTTCGCAGCGGCGATCTCTGTTTACGATCCATGAACATTTTACGGCTTATTATGATTTGTCAATCCAAATTTGCTGTTCGACGGCTTGCCACATTATTAACCGAGATAATTTACTGTATTTATTGGTTCGGGGAATTGTGGCCAAGGAAATCAGATTGCGACCAAATTACATTTTTTTAGCCCTTTGTGCATGTTAAAATGAAAAGGATTAAATTAAACCGATTCACAAGAAAGTCCAAAGAGAGTCCAATTAGAAAAATGACCTGGCAATTTATTTTTTCCCAGGCTTCTTGCTCTTATCTTTAAATAATCATAATGAAATCCGGCAAAGAGCTGTGCAAACAATAAGTCTGACTAAATAACCTTTATTTTTATAGAAAAAAAAACAAAATAAATGCACCTACAACCCTTGTTTTGTCTTCTAATTAAATGCAATTAAGAGTTACTTCGTTAAAAATTCTTGCTTATAAATCAAAAACTAGTCTTAAAAAGTCGTACTTACTAAAACTTCAATTTAATAGAAAATGTTTTTGAATTCAATTAAGTTTTTGCGACTTTACCCTCGACTTCGTTCGCGTAGAATTAGTACATTAAAGAAAAACTAAACATGTACCAGTGGCGGCTCGTGGGTGTACAGGAGGGTAAGGCTACATAAGGTTAATTTTTTCTAAATACAAATAAATTTCCACGTCACCCGGGATGTATTATTCTGCGACGCGTTGACCTTTTTTAAAATGGAGGTCATCGCCGATAGCCCTACTAAACCATTATAAATAAAAAATAAAGTCTAAAAAACAAAACAAACAAAATATCACATCAAAGACTACTTTTAATCTTAAAACTTAAAAATATATTCTTAAAACAGTTAAAAATAAATAAATTAATCAAAAAATAAAAATAAAACTAAAAAGTCGACCCCTACCTAAGTATTAAAAAATATAAAATACTATTAGCTACTTTTTGTAAATTAAATCTATACGTCTAAGTTTGCAAATTTATCTATTATTTGGTCGTAAAATTGTGGGTCTGCAGTGAGATTTAAAAGTAATTCTAAATTTTTAAACCGCCTCTCTAATTAAAGAATTATGCAATGTATTATTTCAAAATATAAAATTTGCTTAATAAAAACTGTTAAATCTACCTTAGTGTGTTCCCCACAATAATTAAATAAGAAATTTTACTAATCGAGACAAAAACTATAAAAGATCAGCCAAAAGTTTTAAATAATTTAATTTAAATCAAAACAAAACGAAACAAAACGTGCTCTACGAACGCTTAGAGGACACTGGCCTCCCCACCATAGACGGACACGCGATTATAATGTGATAAAACCAGAAATCAGAACAAACCAAGCTAACTTTATGTCGCCTCATCTACGACTGAATTTACGTTGTTTATTCGCGAACTTTAGTTGGTGAGTCATTTTCGCTTTCTAGAGGTAAATGGGAGCTTCCGAGGCTGTGAAAATTTCGCCTCTGTCTAGCGACTTTTAACGATGCACGTTACCTTGACGGGCTTTGCGCCTGGATTTTTATTTACGCTTAGTATTATTGATTGGTTTTTTACTTTTTATTGGGTAGAACTGTTGTAAAAATACACTTGTAATAGGCAAAAATCTAAATACAAAAAGTCGTTCGTTCCTTCATTTTAAGGGTGAGGCGCGGCCTCAGAGGCCTACCCTGACGAGCCGCCACTGACATGTACATAAGTATTATCTAAAAATGCCAGTCGTTGTTTACAAAGCTAATAAGTTAGGAAGCAGACATGCTCAAATTATTTACTCCACTGTGCGAAACCTTTACTTGTCTTCAGTACCGAAGTATTGTCGTGCATGTCGAGTTGTTAAAAATAAGCAGCTAACTTTAAGGAAGATTTAGCTGCTTCTTTCCATTACTGCCTTTAAGAAAATTAAGCCCCAATCAGCCAGTCGTTATTATACTAAGCTGAAAATGTATTATTTATACACAAATTATTTTACCCCATTGTGCAAAGATCGTTAATGTGTCATTGAGCATTTCAGTATGTTTACCATGACTTTGATCTACTCGAGACGACTGTTTGTTTTATGTCGCATCTATGTATACAGTATACTTTCAATCGCTGCATTTTTTGTTTTATTCCCAATTCAATAAATTCACATACTCTGTTTTGGTTGCATGCTTCTCCAGGACCGACTTGTGTTTGTTTTGGCGATCAGCCCCCCTGAGAGGGTATTAGACAATGCTTAATAAGCATTGCTTATCACTAAAGATTGCAAATTACATTTTGCGTTTTTAAGCTCTTGTACTTATCTGTTTATGTCCTTTGAAAGCCAGCGCGATGTTTTCTTTTGTCTTAGCACTTTAAGTTTAATAGGCACTTTTGTTCTTGTCTTTAATTATTTTTTTTAATGATTTATGGAAAAAAAATGGTAAAAGGTCTGACCTATTCGAGCGGTCGCTCGGTACTGCGTACAATAAATAAAAACTATACACCTAACTCTGTTCAAGGTCAAAGGTAAAAAAGTAAAGTTTCTATAGAAAGTAAATTTCAAAAAACACCCCCTGGTGCAGATTAGAAAAATATTTCGTATTCTTCTTCGAATGTAATGCAAAACAGTACATTAAATGGAACTTGTTGCTGATATATCAAAAAGTTGGTCCATCTAAGTAAAAGGAACAATTTTGCGAGATGACGATAAAAAACAAAGTAAATCGTCGGAATAAATATTCAAGTTTAGCATGCAGCCGAAATAAAGCATAAATTGCTACTCTTGCTCCGTTGTTAACTTCAATAGAGAATAAAACTGACGGGGCGCGCATTGTTCTATTTACTTTTAGGAGGACAATGTTAAGCACATTATATTATTGTCTGTCTTGCTGAATTTAACTCGGGCAAATTTCATTAAGCGAAAAATAAATTTAAGAAGCATTCGGAATTTACAATTTCGTCCTCGAGAAAATAAATT